CCCCAAAACCCCAAAACCCCAAAACCCCAAAACCCCAAAACCCCAAAACCCCAAAACCCCGAGATGCTAATTTAGTGATGAATCCAATTATAAAATAAATGCAAGTTATTAAAGTGGTGGTTCGTATAAAATGGTGTACAAGTCGCCTATCTTTGGACCAAGAGCTGCTTACAGAGATAAATAAACCATAATTAAATTAGTTAGACTTCAGAAGCTTCTAGTTGGCTCCCAGCTTCTTTGATGCTCTTCTGGACTTTTTTGACTCCTCGCTTACTAGAGGTTGCAGACAAGTGGTCAATTCTTCCGAAGGACTCTGTTATGAGTTTGCGATCGGTGTGCACAGACAACTCTTTGCTGTTGGTGTTTGTGGTGTCTGGAGTTTTAGTTCTTGGCTTAAAAAGTTGAGGTCTAAAGAAATTGTAAATATATGCAATCATGTACAAATATACATCCTCTTCAAAAAATATAGCTCCATTGATTAAATAAAAACATTCATGTTATTTTAAAAAGTCGGTTTATCATTGCTCTGAAGCTTGAATTAAACTAAGAATAATTGAAACTCAGAGAAGGAGTTAGTGGAATGCTCCATAGATTCAGTGTTTGCATTAAGCATTGACTAACTCATTTGGAAGAAAGCAAATAATTGCTTCTGATGAAAGAGGAATTCAGAAAATATTAGTTCAAAGCTAAGGTAAAAGTCTTGTTTGGATTAAGCCGAAACAAACAAATTCCGAAAAGAAGCAAACTAAACACTCCAAATTTTGCAAATCATCAAAAAGGTGAGTGTAGATTGTTATAAATCTCTAAACTCTTTGAGAAGATAAGAGTGTCATTTCAAATATCCACTCTTTTAAAGTGAGTTCTCAAATCTGCTTACAATTAATCTAAGAGTTTTCAGTTCAAATTTATTTACAAAAATGGTTAAGAAAATACAGTCCTTTTAAACAATAGAGAAAACTGATGAATTTCTAATTTAAACACAAAAGCATTCGTACCTTGCAGCAGCATTTTCAACGAAATGCTTGTGTCTCTTCATCTCTTCACGTGTCTGGATTGTTACTTGTTCAGTGAGAGGTTTTATTAGGTTCTTCCTTTTGTTAGAGTAGTATGTAATCGCTTGATACAAGAGTCTTCCTAAGCTGACACACAGGACCATGCAGGTGTTGGCCAAAATGGACTTGTTCAAGAGGAATATCAAAACAGCAGACTCTTTTCCTTGCAAATATATAATTATCACAACAATTAAGAAGTACCAGACTTCGTTGATTATTTCTACGATATTTCCGTAATTTCTGTCATGAGGCCTCAAGTATATCGTGAGTCACAACGAAGCGAATTGAAGTCAAGCGAACAATATGAGTCTTGGTACCAAGCTAGTCGTTCTCATAGACACTATAATTAGCACAACCAGCGATCTCCTAATCAAGAATATGAAATTGTACATCTTAGCAAACTTGTTCAACTTTAATCCTTCGAATAGTTCATTGGCATAAGCATTTTTATGAGGGTTTTTGATAAAGGCATATCAAGCAAACACCAGACAAATAAAGGACACCAGAAATACAAATACTCCAGCATTCAAGCTATATGAGAGAGGGTGGTCCTTGACTTCGATAACACGGAACAACTCACTGATTGAGACCAATCACACAAATAAGAAGCTTTCCAGCAAGAACCTCAGGTAAAATTTGAAGTAAAACAGATATAAAATCAAGCTGTACACTTTGGATCAGAACCCTCTACTTTGAGGATTGCTAAAAAGTTGAATTAAAAAATGACAGAATAGGTTTAGCAACACAATTCCTCATAGCGACATAATAATGTTAAGTCAGTTCACGAATGCACTTCCCGATTCAAACTCGTTTTCTGTGAATTCATCATAAGGGTTTACATAATCAATCTGGTTAATGGCAGTGTTGATTCCATGCAGGTTCTTGGAGTTAATGAAGTCCATATTAATTAAACTAAACTGGAGAGCTTGAAGAGTCCTTTTGAATTCAGTAGGCAGCTTTACAATCAGAAATGGGATCATCAAAAACAGTTGGTACTGATTCAGCAAAGCCCACACATTTTGAGAAGACGACTCAAAGACGATTCCAGACAACGTTGTAGAGGCTACCATTCCTGCAAATCCAGAAACAACTAGCGAAGAATTCACGGTGAGAGATTCGTTGATCTTTGTGCTCTCACAAGTGTTCTCGCTAGTCAGAGTATATCCGTCATTACAAAATGTGCAAACAGAAGAGCTGCAAGTCTTTCAATTCTCAGTTTCTCATTGGTCTGAAGCAACAACGCTAATTTTGGCATTTCTCAAATAAATGAGTCCTTCAACATCGCTTTTTCCAGTAAGGTAGAAAGACTGACCTCCAGCCGACAAAGGTGCTGTGTAATCTAGAGAAATAGAATCTGATCCGAGAGACACCCAGGATGGTAATGGCTCTCCGTTCGAATGAGCTTGAATCTCTGAAACTACAGAAGTGTCACCACTAATGGAACAAGCAAAAAAACTCGCAACGTTTCCACTGGAGCCGGCTGTAGTTTCAAGGGTATATTCTCCTCCTTGAAAGATCACTTCAGACTCGAAAGCAAGTCCCGGAAAAGGCTTAGCATCAGGCAAGTTGTTTATAGCTATATTAGAAGCACTTTTTGATACCAAAAACGGGCTAGATGCCACAAATGTAGTGGAATCATAAGTATATGAGTATCCAACACTAGAAGTAAACGAATCACTAGTGGAAGCAAATGCTACTCCTGTATTGATACCGTATATTCCATTAGATCCAAGTCGAGACACTGCAATTACTTTTGCTTCATTCGGGGCTCCAGATCCAATAATGGTATGACCTCCAACTTCTAGAATCCATCCTGGTATTATCGTAGTGCTCACATATGCGTTTGAGAATGTTCCAGCAGCTGGGTCATACTCTATTTTGTACGCTCCGCTGTCATACTTTAGCAGCAAGAACACTTTTCTGAACGAAGTTGAATAAGCAATGCTGCTGATCTCAAGGCCACTCTGAATGAATCCAGCCATGTAGCACCCAATATGTGATCCATCTTCAAGATTACTCACAGTCATAATTGGCTTTGCATCGAGGAAGTAACTGACAACTTGACCTGATGAGTTCACTACTAAAGCATCATTGGCTCCAGTAAGCACTCAATCTGTTGGTCATTGTAACCTCTTGGCCCATTGCTGTGTGCAAGTCTCGTACTTTGCTGAAAGCAGGCTGTATGCTTGACTCGGGCTGGTCATTGAGCCAGTAATTAGCAAAAAGTCTTGGCCTGAATTTATGTATGAGTGAACAGAATACACTGAGTTCAACCCAATCGAAATCGAAGTTATAGTTGCTGATCCAAAATCCGAATACCCAACCTTGAACACTTGAGGAACTGAAGAGGTTTTGCCTGCCACGTAAATGTTGGAGTTGTCGTTGGAGAATGTCAGAGAGTCACACTCAACAGTTGTGGCTGTTCCGATCTTGAGCTGTTCAGCAATGGCTCCGGTAGACTTGTCAACTTTGGCGAGGTTTCATTCTGAATAGCCAGCAAACACCAAATTAGCTTCTGAAGAGTGAACAGCAACTGCATTCTTGTAAATGTGAACCTTTCTACTCATCACCCAGCTGATATCGAAGTTGGAGTCAAATTTGATGATAGCAACGATATCTCTGTTAGCTTTCTGGCCATTGGCTGTAAGGTAAACGCAAGAGCCATCAGGTCAAGCCACTCCGTTAATGACTGAAGCATCTTTGAAGCTAGGGTACTCGAATGAGTAGCTTTTGATTTTGGGCGATAAATCTGTTTCAGTTGGACATTGTGCTGTGAGAGCCAACTGAATTATCAAAGTAAACCTAAAACAAAATTAAATAAGAATTTCATAATCATAGCAAATGAAAATAGAGACTTTTAGTGTTTTGACATCTTTAAAACTTGAAGTTATTTATGCTAGCAATATTGGCACTACTATTGAATTTGTTTGACATCTTCAAATTCGAATACAACCCTAATTTTAAACGAGAAATCATTCGAACTAAGAATATTATTGAACTCCTCAGTACAGAAACATGATATCCTCATATGAATAAAAGTGGAATCAGAAGCTAGATCGGCAAACTTTAGAAGGGTTGAGTAGCTCAGATAAGTAGGTGTTAGAGAAAAAGTCAAAAGCAATTGAGATATTCACACAATAACAACAGCTAGCAAGGCTGTTCATAATAGGTTGTAATGGCCGAATAAAGATAAATATAAAAATGTGTGATTGATGGCATACTTAGACTGCGCAGATTTCCACTTTTCTAAATAGAAAAAAGTGCCGAATTTAGGGGTAAATACAGAGGTACACACTCATATTTATGAAGAATAAACTTAGTTTAATCGAAGCTAAGGCAGATTTTTCGTTCACAAATAATTTGTTCCAAGGTTCCTATTAAAAGACCCAGAATACCATGAAGTCTATTGAAAGCAAAAAATGTATTACTTCTTAAAATTGAAAGGAAATTTGAGCTATTCAAAGCAAAGTGACTACAATAATACCCAGTTCTTTAAAGCTATATGGATTTTTGAGGATTGCATGCTTTGTTAGGCTGATTTAGATTTGGTTGATCAGCAGTAAAATGAAGCATTCACAAACATTTTCAAGGAAAGGATGAAGTTCAGATGATTCAGAAGTATTCTAAACAGAAGTTTGTAAGCATCAAGTGCAAGCAAAGACCATGGCAGGATTAGTATATTGGTTTTAATTTTGAGTGATATTGATAATTCAAAATATTTGAGTTTATGAAGAAATTAAACCGAAATTTTTAGTAAGATTAAATAGATTACTATCAATATTAATCCGAGATAGATATAAAAGCTGAAATATAGATTAGGAGAATAATCTAATTATAAGATCATAGATGAAGCAATATCAGAATGAGGGGACACTCGTGAGATTTTGATCCTTGAGGAAGACTTAATGTCAATTAAAATCCCTTTATTATCTCTTAATTCTAATCTTCGAAAATATTTAGTAAGCCTACAAACTTAAATGAGGTTACAAATCGCTGAATTAGAAAGCTATAATAAGTTGAGGCAAATTTAGTAGATCCTCTTTGTCAAGTAAGAAGCTCATATTTTTAGTTAGCTAGCTGAAGTTACGCAATCAGAGTTTTAAAACGGTAAGTCATAACTTTTATAAAATTTGCAAATCAGTTTTAGTGAACAGGCAAGATTTTATTGCATTCTTCGGGCTATTTAGTAACCTCTTTATCCAAGATGAGCTATTTTATAGAAGCTGAATTGAAAATTATATTAATCGAACTCTGAGAATTTTATTTGAAATACGAGAAAATTTTATTAACTAAAAATTACTTCAGTATTCTAAAACAGTTAATAAATAAAATTTACAGGTTTGGTCAAGCAGGGCTTCCAAAAATATTTCAAGGGCATTGAAATCAGGCTTCCATTAGTATTAGCTAACAAATTCCTAGTTGTATGAACCACTTATTGGCATGGCCAAAACTAAGGAATTTAAATAGAAAATTATTGTTGCATTCCCTAGTTAGTAAACTATCTTAGAGGCTTAGTCGAAGCCAGAAAGTGGTAATCTCTAAGAGCTTTACTAGCATGGATTTGATATTATGAATGCTTACCATATTATTATCATATTATTAAATTTATAATCTTCCTCAATACTATTTCTTCATCACGGGGTTTTGGGGTTTTGGGGTTTTGGGG